AGAGAAAAAATATTAGAGGATGTTAACTATAAAAAATAATAACATAGGTAGTGCAAATAGAAAGTTTGATATAGAAGAAGAAGAATTCTTATCCTCATGCTTATCGACATCAGTACATTTGGTTAAGTTACTTGTTCCACACTCATTAAAAAAGATTAAAACTTTATTTTAGTTTCTTAATTTTAATAAAAAAAAGTTATAATTTTTTTATTTAAAAAAGTTTCTTTTTAATTCTTAAAGTTTATTATTTAATTATTTTTTAATTTTTTTGTTACTTTTTTATATATGTAATATGCTAAATAACAAAAATTTTAAAGTAGATAAATTGAAAAGTAGTATTTTTAAATAAAAAGATCAAAAAGTAACTTTTTAAATTTTTTTAAATCTTTTTATTTTGAAATTTCTTTCACCTAACATACTATAAATATAAAAAATAATAAAGGGATTAAACAAGGATCAAAAGATATAAATTTTAGGGATTGATAATAGACTAAACATGTTTGAAGCTCACGAATATACTGAAGGCTGGAAGCAAGCACCATTGATAAAATGCAAAAACACTATCATCTTGCCTTCCACGCTACCAAGCGAAGGTTCATCTTAGTCCTTAGGATCATTTCAAATACAGCATTCTCATTCCAATTAGCGGCATTATGTAAAATCAATTTTTATCATGAACCAGCTGGTGGACCAAATTCTCACAAAGAACAAGATTGACCATACCTCTGCGCTTACAAAACTGGCAACTCCTACAGAATGAGTCGCCCTAAAGAATGTATTGAGTCCGAAAAAATATATGGAACAAAACCCCCACCAATTGTAGGCTTGTAGCATCTCTTCCACAAACCTTGGACAACCTTGCATCAAGCACATGCGGTCAACATATTTTGATTCATTCCTTACCTTAGTAAACTCACCCTGCATTTCCGGATTTTGTCTCTCAGATTTGTTGCTGTTCACTGGTTTTATTGTCTTTTAACCAACATTTTGAAAGCACCAATACTGTTCCTAATCTGTTCATCTAAATTCAGTGCAAATTTTTTTTTTCCAGAAAAGCTTGGGCGAGTTAGTAATGACTAATCTAAAAGGCTTAATTTGGGTCAGAATTAGGGGTTTAACCATCTGCGGTAGGCAGCTAACAAAAAAAAAAAACTCCTTATTCAGTGCAAATTCTCAAAGCGCACTGTTCGTACACCATTCATGTTGAGTTACGTGGCTAGCCGCGTTTTCAGTGAGACAAGAAAAAGCAAGCTTAAAGGAAAGCGGAGAGGATGATCATGGGGAGAAGAGAAAGAGGAGGCCGGTTGAGAGGGCGGCATGGAAGAAGAGATGGTGGAGGCATAGAAGAGGAGTTTGAGGATCGAGGATTCGAGGCAGGTCTTCTCCCTCATCTTCTCCCACTGCCATTTGGGGTGATGATTGTCATTGCAAATCTTATTGGGCTGTAATTGCGAGTCCCATTTCTCCAATGACCTGGCGACATCGGTGAAAAATGCGATACGATCCCACTCGCCACATCAGCCACGGTGCGAGACGCCCCTGTCGCGCACCACCGGCCACGAGTGGCGAGTGGAGGACCGAAGGTCCAAGAACGAGGAATCGGATTAAAGACTAAAGGGCAAGACAGGGCAGGGAAAAAATCGTGAGTGGAAGCAGCTAGGATGACGAGATGACCCGAGACTGAAATTAATTGGATAGAGAAGTTCCTGGACAAGAAAGAGGAGTGACGGAGGAGAAGGTGGAGAGCGTAATACGTGCCATGTTAAGTATTTTAGAATATTTATTACAAAATTTTAACTTAGTAACTATTTTGTTTTCATTTTAGTGTTTGAATTGGAACAAATGAAGCTCAAACCCAAAGTTGCTGTTGCGTGTTTAGTTGTTTCGATTTGCGTTTAGCACTGTCTTTATGGTTAGTGTGAATAATTGTACTCTTTCTGAATTTGTCTCTTATCTCCTATATATAGCCTTTGCATATCTGGGGAAACACCTGTATATTTCCAATGGTAACATTTTGCTTTACAATTAAAAAGGGTTTAATGTAAGAAATGATCCCTTTTCAAGTGGTGAATTCTACTTTGCTTCACTGTTTCTTAAGGAGTTGAGTTTTTTGGGTTGAAGAATTATGCTCTCTCTCTCTCTCTCTCTCTCTCTATATATATATATATATATATTGTTTTATTGTTGATTGTGGCTCATTCTAATCTTTTCTTTAATCATTCTTAAATTGGTTGTGGATAGTTTATCGTTTTTCCATTTGATTCGAAGTAACACCAAGATGGCAATTTGAATTTTAGTTGACTTCCATAAAAGCAATTATTGGTTTCTGTGTGTGTGTGATTTTATGACTGATTATTCAGCTTCTGATGAGATATTGAGGATGAGTTCTGCGTGTTTAAGAGTTCTTCTCTCTTTTTCTGTCTAGGTGACTGAGTGCAATAGGGGGAAACTAGAAGCTAAATCTGCAATGATGGTTTCAAATGGGGTTTTGATTTAGGCATTTTCTGTTCTTTCTGAAATAGGCCCTTTAATCTCCTTCTCTAATGGTCTCATTCAAGATGTTAAAACAAGAACCGTCTAACTTAAAATATTTAATAAATAATGAATCTTTGAACCATACAAATTGGCGTTCTTTTTCTTTGTATTCTTGCATATATATATATGGTATGGTAGATGACAAATAGATTTTTCTGAGGGAGCTTTGCTGTGGCAAATGTGTTTTCAGCAGAAAAAACCAATGGAAGAAAATTTGTGAGCTTATGTTTTGTTCTTTTTTCTCCTCTTTATTCTTCTTTTATTAGTTTCTCATCTCTTCTACTTTGGTTTTTGGTGAGCTTATGTTTTGGTCATTTTTTCCACTTCATTCTTCTTTTATTAATTTCTTTGGGTTTCTATTTTCCCTTTATGTTTCTTGCTTTTTTTATGATTTTTTTTATAATGTATGATTTCTTTGCTAGGGAAGGCACAACGGCAAACAAAATGCAGTTTTCATATATGAATTTCTCCTTTAATTTTTTTGGGGATTTTTATACCATTTGGAGCGTGTGATTTTACTCAAATTAATTACAATTTTTAGATTTAAATGGAAGAATTTAAGGTGCTCTAGACTTTTTTAGTTAATTGATAGAGCCCCAGAAATGCGAAGTACTGCTTGAGTGGCCCAGATCTACTTTTCTTCTGCTTCTTTTGAATCATGGAATCTGAGACTTTGATGAAGTGTGTCATTAGGGGGTTTCATATTTGATGATTAATTCTGTTAATATTGCTGAATTCATTTTGCCAAGGGTTGTAGCTTATCGATAGGTTTTTTATTTTTTTTTTTCTTTTTACAATTTATCTACAACTACAAGTTGAGTTCGTTAATGATATAATGGTTGTTTCTTTTCAAAATATAACTAAAACCCTTACAAAAATGTTTGTTGACTCTATTCTCTTAGACTCAAACATGAGGTTTTCTTTCCTTCTTCTTCTTCTTTTTTTTTTTTTTCCTTCTTCTTCTATGGATACGAGTCTGCCCTGGAGAGATCATGGATGCAAATGAATATGGTTGCAATCAAGAGGTTTGTAGTGAATTTATTTTTCTGCTAGAGTCACAAGTGTGAATGACTATGGTCTTGGATTCACCATATAATAACATTCTAGACTGACTAACAGTTGGTGATTATTTTTACTGTACTTTTTGGTTTTAGTCGTGATTCCAACTTCCAAAACCTTCATTGGAATTTAGCATTTGTGGCAAATTGGTTTCCTTTTTTTCTGCCTGTTGTATTGTATCAACTCTTTCTTTTTCCATATTAATTATTAATGAAATGCATTGTGGC